GAGTCCTTGCACCAGCTCGATCCCCCAACACACTCAGAATCTCCTAACCCCCATTTCCATCCCAGACCTCCTGAAGAAGGGGAGGAGCGTGGGGAGCCCTACTTTGTCATGCCTCATCAATAAAGTTCACTGTACCCAGCCTCTTCCCCCCCCCAAAAAAAAAATCTATAACTTAATTTTTACAATATGCTGTTTAAACATAATTATTAATAATAAACTACAATGTTTGCTAATATCTTATTACTATAATCGTGTTGCATTCATTTCCCTTACATGTCCCATGTGCAGGCGCACCATTTCTCTCCACTAATACTAGCAGTGAATATTTTAGCAGCTGATTACCACTTGTCATTAGTCTTGGACTGACTTGTTTGGTGTGTGCAACAGGAAATATTTCACTTTCAGAGAACAAAAAAAAAAAAGTTTATTTGCATTACGCTTATTAATTTGGGCAGTTATTCAGTGTCTGGTAAGTTAATGTTCAAGAAAATATATTAATTTTTATTAAAATGTTCTATTATTTTATGTTAACGATTACTACTCATTCATTTCAGTACTTTGTATTCAGCATGTCTCTATTGAAATAAACCTACCTTTCTATGAACATTGAAGCTCTTTTTTTTTTTTTTTTTTTTCCGGCCCACATAAACTTAAACCTTGTTTATTTGGCCATGTTAGCCTCTGTGCTTGACCTGCTGCTTTAAGAGTAGGAAAGGAGGAAGGAGTTGTTCAAGAGTTGCCTCCAGGTATGTAGGAGGCACTGATACAGATGAAAGGGTTGTTTGTTTGTTTGTTTGTTTGTTTTGTGTGTGTGTGTCTATGTGTGTGTTTAATGAAGTTTTGCTGTGCTTTGCAAATTAAACCTATCCCCATTTTAGCATGTTCTCGAAAGACTGGGAACATTTAAAATCATTTCTTTCCATGTAACTCATGTGAAGAATATGCATTTAACAAAGAAAAGCCTATGAAGGTGAGGATTTTCACTCATTTGAATTCAAGTTGATGCCCTTACAGAAGGTCAGTTCCTAGGAGGACTCTGGGTCTCAGCAGGGGAATGGAGCGGGGAACAGGCTGTGATTCAATCAGAGCCTCTACAGAAATCAGTAATAACCTAAAGGTTAGAAGGGTAATGAAGAAATGGTTTCCAAAGATATAGATGAAATCAAGGAACAAACAAGAGAAGATGAAGCACCAGCGGAAAACCACTGTTCCCTCTGGGTCTGGAGGGACAAAGGGTATGTGGCTTGGAGTTTCCCCAGAACAGATCCTGAGACAAGCGGCTTATGTGGGAAATTAAAGAAACACCAATAGGAAAGTAAGCAGTTCATGTGAAAAGTGAAAGAAACATCAATGGGGGAGTTAGAAAGAGACACATACCCTGTTTCTTCGAAAATAAGACAGTGTCTTATATTAATTTTTTCTTCCAAAGTTGCGCTAGGTCTTATTTTCGGAGGATGTCTTATTTTCGGAGAAACACGGTAGAAGGAATGGCTGCCAATAAAGAGTATCAAACTAATAATCACTTCAGGCAATTGGAACTTAACACAGGCCATAAGGTTAGCCACCCCAGGCCAAAGGAGCCACAGTGGCCCTGAGCTAGGGATGGAAAGACCACCCAGCCCACGGTGTTAGAGCCCAAACAGGGTGAGAAAGGAATCCATGGGGTGGGAGAGCCAAGTCTGGAGCGGCAGAGCCCAAGCCACTTCCAGGAGTACGTGTACTGGATGGAGGAGTCAGAGCCAACACTGAGAGGAGGTTACCACATAGGAGAGGGGGTACAACCAAACTGGGAGATGGATTTAATACTGAGGCATTGCACAAATAAGTAAACATATTAATGATAATGAGCCCCGGCCAATGGCTCAGTTGGTTGGAGCATCATCCCACACACCAAAAAAGGTACAAATTCAATCTCTGGTCAGGGTACCTACAAGAGGCATCCGATCAATGTCTCTCTCTCACACTGATGTTTCTCTCTCTTTCTCTCTCCCTTCCTCTCTTTCTAAAAAAAATGAAAAGATATCTTTGAATGAGGGGGGAAAAGGATGAGAATCAGGTTTCTCATTGTCATAAGAGGGACAAATAATAGAAAGGAATAAATGTAGGTTGAACCCTATAGGGTTGTATTGGAGTTAAAGGCATGAGTATGAGCATATGGATTTCAACATATATTTATAGTTACTGATATAAATATAGATGTAAATGTATATATCCATAAAGATATATATGCACACACATTTATATCTATACGTGTGTGTGTGTGTGTGTGTGTGTGTGTGTGTGTGTGTATCCCAGTTCTGCTCACTGAGGAGCCTAGGAACAGGGAAATCCCAATAGTAATAAACAAAACTAATTCCTAAATCCTGGCTATTAAAAATTATTGCTTCTCCAAAGATACCAGGACTCCTTGGAGAAACTGTGGATTCCAGCTCTGGAACAGGAAAAACATGAGCTGAGTGTGGAATGCCTAATTCTGCCAGAAAGCAAGGAAGTGCTGAAAGAATGATGGGGACTTGTTAGAAGAACACAAGAACTAGTTTGAACAGTTTCCCACTGGCCAAAGAGGGGACAATGTATGCATAAAAGTAAAATGATGATAGTAACACTTGTCTATCCATTGGTAGGGAATTTTGGTGAAAAAACAGAAGAGTTATGAAATTTCAAAGTACCTCTGCAAAAAAAGAGGAAAGAGTACTTGATAGTGGAGAACTCGACTAACAACACCCCAGTTAACTGACCAGAATCAACATTAAAAGAACATAGAGCCACTTCTTTGTTATTTTTTTGCCAAACATCAATCACCTGTTGTTGTTGTTTTAATTATGAAGAAACATCAAACTGAATCAAATCAAAGAACATTCTACAAAATAATGGCTCATAATCTTCAAAAGAGCCAATGCTGTGAAAGTATAGATAGAGGAATTGTCCACAGTGAAGGACACGATAGAGATGTGAAGAATAAATGCAGGGGGAGATTCTGCTATAAATTATATTATGGAAGCATCTGGAAAAACTTGAATGCAGTTTGAGGATCAGATGGTAGCAATGTATCAATGTGAACTTTCCAATGTTGATGGATTGTGGTTATAAAGAGAAGTATGCTTGCTTATAGGAAATAGATACTATTAGTCATATGTGATAGGGCATAAGGTCAGAAACTTCCTCAAGAAAAGAATAGTAGTTTGGCTATACTTCCAACTTTTTTATAAGTTTGTGGCTGTTTCAAAAAATTTAATAAGCCAGTCAGAGAAGAATAAGTGTTACATGATGTCACTTATTTGTGGAATATAATAACAAAAACTATTGAACAAAAATAGATCCAGAGACATAGAAACACCAAACAGACAGTCAACCTCAGAGAACCAATCAGAGGACTTGTATGCATGCTTATAAGCATAACCAATAGATACAGACAGTAGGGGGTGAGGGCATCTGCTGGGGAGGGGAGTTGGGAGTGGTCAGGGAGCAGACAATGGGGTAAAAAAGGAGACATATGTAATAATTTCAACAATAAAAAAATTAAATTTAAAAAAATAAAGAAATAGAAAGGAAAGAAGGAAGAAAAAAAGAAAAGAAAATGAAAAGAGTGGCAATAGAACTATCTTCAAGAAGAAGGGGAAAGGACTTAAAAAGACACGTTTCAAAAGTGTACATACAGAAGGCCAAGAGACACATGAAAACATGCTCAAAGTCATTAATCATCCGAGAGATGCAAGTCAAAATGACAATGAGGTACCATCTCACATCTGTCAGAATGACTAAAATCAACAAATCAACAAACAAGTGCTGGTGAGGATGTGGAGAAAAACGAAACTTTGGTGCACTGCTAGTGGGAATGCAGACTGGTGCAGCCACAGTGGAAAACAATATGGAGTTTCCTCAAAAGTTAAAAATGGAACTCCCACTTGACCCAGTAATCCCATTTCTAGAAATATATCCCAAGAAATCAGAAACACCAACCAAAAAGGATATATGCACCCCTATTTCATAGCAACACAATTCACCAAAGCTAAGATCTGGAAACAGCCTAAGTGAACGTCAACAGACGAGTGGATTAAAAGACAGTGGTACATCTACACAGTGGAATACTATATCATGGTAAAAAAGAAGGAATTCTTACTATTCACAACAGCATGAATAGACATGGAAGCATTAAATAAGCCAGTTGGAGAAAGATAAATATCACATGATCTCACTCATTTATGGAATATAATGAACAACATAAACTGATGAACAAAAATAGATCCAGAGACAGAGAAGCATTGAACAAACTTCAGAAGGAAGAGAAAAGAGGGTATGTGTGGGAGAAGGGGGTGGGAAAGAGATCAACCAAAGGACTCATATGCATACATATAAGCATAACCAATGGACACAGACAGTAGGGAGGTGAAAGCATGTGCTGGGAGGTCGGGGTGGCTGGGGAGAGGTCAATTGGGGAAAAAAGAGACATATGTAATACTTTAAACAATAAAGAATAAAAAAATAAATAACACACACACACACACACACACAAAAAAAAAAAAAGGAAGAAGAAGAAGAAGCGGAAATGTGCTAAGGTAATCATTTCCCTCCCCCAAGAAAACACTGAGAGGTATTTTCAGTTGCTGAATATCAAATGTTTATTATTTAGTTTTCTACTACTGCTAGAATCCATTTCATAAGCAGCTCCTCTTAAAGCCAGCTTTTATTTCACAGAAATTGTATGCTCCCGCACTTCACTTTGAAATGTGCCATGCTGAGAATGGGGGTGCTTCAGGGCACAGCTTGGGCAACCACGCCACATGAGGGGTCTCCCCACCTTGATCCCCCTCACAGAAAGCTGCCAATACCTTAGGAAACACCTCTGCAGAGCCAGCCAGGTTATTCAAGTCAGCTGGAAACAGAGAACGCCATACTTGATTCAAATTACAAATTCAGTATTGTACTGTACACATCCAGCATTACACATGCTTAAAATAATATAAGCATGCCTAATGACAAATCAGATCTCAGTTTTTTTAAAGAAAATAAACTATAAGCAAGCAACGACACATACTAAAACTACCATAACCTCATTTTTACCTATAGTTAAAACTATTGTTGAATACGCACTGGCTGTTTCAGAAGTCTTTGTCACGCACACAGGAAGTAGAGAAAATATCCAGGCTAAGAGTGACCACATTACACATATCTGAGAATCCCCCAACCAAATCTATCTTGAAGGGCCAGGCTGGCTTCCAAGTGGCATGGTTTCTAGGAGAGGCCATCGTGCTGATGCTTCTTCACAAATCCTGGGAGTACAAATGCAGGCTCACCCACTGTGGTCCCAGGACGATGTCAGCCTCTGAGGGCAACAGCGCCTGGTTGGCCCTCGCTCAGGGGAGTATCTCAAGCCGTGGAATTCTATCCAGGCCTGGATGGCTACTCCAGGCTGATGGGGCTCATTTCAACCAGTGGAGCCCAGAGGCAGCAGGGCCGGAGTTTGACGCTAAATAGATCATTGTCTCTACCCCAGGACCTTCATTACAAAAATAGCCCAGCTTGTAATTAATAGCACCTTGAAAACATAGGTAATGGTAGAAAACAGGATCATAAAATGAAGTCACTTTCCATTCTGGTCAATGCTTCCTACCACTAATATCAAGTCAAGATAATATGCCATTTTAATTGAATCTGGGCGGTGGGGGGGGGGGGGGGGCCTGGAGATGTCTTTTGGAGCAAAAATATTCTTGTAGGAAGAATATAGGTAAACCATATTCATCAGAATATATATATATATATATTTTATGGAGCAGTAGAGGAAAAAATATAGACATAGCTCCCTCCTCAGAGTGTCTATCAAATAGTAGAAGTACTTTTAAAAGGAAAGTTGAGAGCAGACAGTATCTAAATTGGTGGAGTGGCGGACTGGGGTTCAGAAGTTGGACAAGAAAGAGTACTGTGCACTAATGCATTAGTACAATATAGTCACACGTTGACACCTCAGAAATAAAATACCTACAGTTTTGAAGCAACTCCTCTACTGTCTGATTTAACAAGGGAAGCTCACCCTACAAGAAGAGGTAGTCTGTTAGTGGGTTGCAGACACATGCTGGCCGTCAGCTGCCTGTTTGCTTTGTAGGCTCAGTGCCCTTGGAGTATTCTAACAATGTTTGTAGATGTGTGTGTGTTTTACTGGCTAGAAGCAGATGTGAAAGTGACCCCATTCCAGCCAGGTCTGTTTGTTGGCACACATGACCCCGGCTTTCTATAAAGTTGCTCTGAGGCAGTCTGTTACTATCCGTGTTGACTGATATAGTTACTGGTCCAGTTTGAACAAAGCTTCAGTAGAAGATGTATAGTCAAATCAAGCCAGACATTCCAGAGTCCAGGAAAGGAGGAATTCTTGCACTTCAAGTAGGCGGGAGATGGCCAACGTGGTTCATGCCTGAGTGCTAGAGAGTCCCAAGTTATGAGCAACATCTGTAACAAAAAGGTAGCATAAATTCTTTAAAAGCTCTCCATGTGCCAGTTTCCTTCCTCAAGTTTCCCCCCTTTTCTGCCTCTTATAATCACGTGCACACGCACACATGCATATACACACTCACGGACACAACCCATCCAAACTTTTCTTTATCAATCAAAGCCCAGCACCAGTTCCACATTTTCCATACAGTTTTACTTGGCCCACTCTCAACTCCTATATAACAGATTGTATCTGAAATGTACACTTCACAATTGCGAACTTCTGACACTAACACGTAACTCCACCCTCTGTGTAAACATATCACGTCTCCTGATGACAATTACAAACTGAAAACAAGGACTGTCTTGGGTCTTCCCTCCCTCTGCCCAGTACACTCAGCGCAGTGCTTTTCACATAATAATCTTTCAAAAATATTTGACAGAGGTGCTGGGTCAGGCTCTGCTTAGAATTGGGTATGCGAAATGCTTTCAGAATACAGAGAAGGAAGGTCCTGCTTCCCCTCAAGAAGCTTACTCTCTGGCCATTTGCACAGTAATTTGTTTACATCCAATTGGAAGAGATATGCTAGGCTTGGTGGGTGGAACATGAAACCACCCACCTCTGATTTCAGCCTCAGGGGGTGGTCACCTCTGTGCATGCCCAGGGTTCTGGCACAAAAGCCGATGGTGCATTTCTCTGCTTTTCTGCCTCAGGGCTTTCTCTGAAGACTTCTGAGCCACTCATCCCAAGCACAGGGCACAGCTTAGGGATGTGGAAGATTAAGGTGCTCTGTAGGCAACCCTAAACCAGGGCGGGTGGGAGCCATTGGATAATGCCCCACTTAGAGGAGACATCTGTACACTCCTCAGAGACTCTGTGGCCTCTAGCTGAGATCTCAGTAATGCAACCTTCATTTGTGTTTCCTCCTTACCTGTCTCACTCTTTTTGTTCCCTCACCCCTTCTTCTTGGGGTCACCTTCCACCTATATTACTTGCCCCCAAGACTCTGTCTCAGGATCTGTTTTAAGTGTTCCATACCAAAGCAGACACATTATTAAGAGCACAAAGATTAAGATAAATTATTTTTTAAATAGCAAAGTTATATGAAACACAAGCTAGTGTCAAAGCTATGGTATCAATTTTGCTAGTGTCAAAGCTATGATATCAATTTCTGAGTAATAAAGACACCCTGAGTACCAATAATTTCTTGCATCTGAAAAGTGAGATGGACTAAAAGAGCATTTAGCTCCCTTTCTATACTTTAATTCTATGGCAAATGTTTTGTGTGTTTCTTTAATATAAGTTCTTCACCACTGAGTTGTGGCAAAAATGCAATGGCTTCTGTCTCATCATATACCTCATATCACTGCAACCTGAGTCTAAAGCATAAAATTTACATTTTTCTACAATAGATGCTTCAACTTTTTTGAATGCTTCTCAACTTAATTACACTCAAGTTAACAATGCTTAATTTGAATGGAAAAGGTCAAATTCCCACCTAACTGGCCTTCTGTGATATATCCAAGTTCTTTAAACTTGCACATTTTAACAATATCTTCACCAATTCCTCATTCTTTTTCTTGGTAACACAACCCAGATCTCTCTTCCAAATCTGTCTAAAATCTCCATGTATCTATATATCTCCCACAGTGCCTCACTTAGATTTTTGCACTTAATTGATATTCAGTAAATCTCAGTGTATGACTTAATGAACTTCTTTAACAAGGGAGGCTTTGAATAACCTCAATTTTTAAAATATCGATTGGAAAAGTTATTTGATACAACAGTGATTTATGAACTTGTTTGTTTAATTTTAATAGTAGTTTATAACCTTGTTTATTTTCAATACCCTGGAGAAAAACATAAAATAAGGTAAAAATAAGAGTTCATTTTTTCACAGAAAAATAGGAAAAGTCAGACTTAGAGGCATTATTCCTCCCTTTAAAATCATAAATTAAGCCCCGTGTGGCTCAATGGTTGTGCATGGAACTATGAACCAGAAGGTCAGGGATCAATTCCCAGTCAGGGCACATACCCAACCAGGGAGTGTGCAGGAGGCAGCTGATCAATGACTTCCTCTCATCATGGATGTTTCTATCTCTTTCTCCCTCTCCTTTCCTCTCTGAAATCAATAAAAATATATTTTTAAAAAATCATAAATGAAAATTCCAGGCTTACTATGAAGACAGCTCTTCTCTTCCCGAAACCCTAAAAGTTGCTGTACCTTTGATCCCAGGCTTCTTTGCCGTGTTCACCGCTGCCATGAACATGTACTCACTGTTCGCATCGTGCACACTGGCTTGATGCTTCTGAAAGAGAAAGTCAGACAACAGGTTGGACATCTGCTCTCTCCCATCTCCATCCCTGTTTTTGTTTGTTTGTTTGTTCGTTTGTTTGTTTTGATTTTTGGTTTATTTGTTTACTGTTTTCTATTCTTTGTCGGACTGGTATGTGACAAATGTTATAATGGGACTTAGGGTCCTGGCTTTCAACTAAGTAGGAGAACAAAACGAAAAGGGCTTTAAATAAAGAGCTGACTTCCTCATTTTGGCCTTTATTGTCTTCCGTAGAATTAGATCATGGGCTTTATCTCATTCCTCTTCATTCTTTATCTCCTTTTTTCTACTCCATTTGGCACAAATATACCCACTGCTACACGTGGGTATTAGCAGACTTGCATCATATTCAGGGAGGTATAAGTTCTTTGAGAAGGTGTATTGCAAAAGGCTAAAAAGAATATTCTCAGCACAGATTTTTGTTGTTGTCATTATTGTTGTTGTTTTATCATTCTGCATAGCTTTTCAGTGGTTTTTCATAAAAAAAATAAGGAGCTCTAATAATTTACCATGGAAACAAGCTAGCCATTTACTTCTCAGCTACTACTGGTACCTTATAAGATTTTATTACTGATTATTTCTTAATTAGCCAATGGAGTAAAATAGAACAGTTTCCTCTTTGTCCCGACTCTTAGGAAGCTTAGGATAAAATGTGCAGCCCACATTAAATAATTTTTAAAAGCAAGAAACATCAATTTTTATGTTTTTACCTTCCTCCTGACTTTTTGTCTTTTATGGGCTTCAATTATCTCATATTTGTTAACATATCTCTTTGTAAGCCATTGAATAAGTTTTGAAATGAAGCAGTTGTAAAGCTTAGTTTAGTTAGTAGGTATATCTTGAGAGAAAAAAATATATAGTCTTCCTGTTGATCCATGTACTCTGATAAGAGTAATATGTACTTTGATGAGTAAGTTTCCACTGATGTTCCTAAGTAAAGTTGATTCAACAAAAGGTAGATATTGCTCACCTTATTTTTAAGCCAACAAAAAAATGTACATCCAAAAATGAAGACAACACCAAAAGCTGCACATCCTATGGGTAGCCAGAACTTCAGCTGGCAGCAAAACTGTGATTCTGGGTTAGAAAAAAAGAGATGTTAAGAACAAACTCTAAAAATCAAATCTCCTCTTTCAGGGCTGAATCCCAAGGTGGTTTGTTTTTTTTTTATATGTAAAGAACGATTTAATCAAATGAGCTTATCTTCATTCATTGCAACCATAAAACCCAGTAAATAGTAAAACATCATTTTAGTATTATAACCAGGATCCAAAAACTAAAACCTAAAAGACTGTAAGCACAAATATGTTTTCAAATGGGACTAATAAAAAGGACTTTTCTATCTATACTTTTGCAAAAGAATAAGTAGAAAAAAGTAATGACATAAAACTGTTCTTTTTAGTCATCTCACTGAATTCTGCAAATTCAGCAAAAACCCACAGCCTTATGTGAATAGAACTAATAGTCATTAACCATGGGTTTGGATATTTGTCTACATTTTTCCTGATTTTTGATGGCATATGTGTTTTAGTTATTTTTTCATATTTTTATTGATTTAAGAGAGGAAGGGAGAGAGAGAGGTAGAAACATCAATGATGAGAGTCATTGATTGGCTGCCTCCTGCATGCCCCACTGGGGATTGAGTCTGCAATCCAGGATTTGCCCTGACTGGGAATCAAACTGCGACCTCCTTGTGCACAGGTCAAACCACTGAGCCATGCCAGCTGGGCAATGGCATATTTGTTTTAGAGACAGCATGATCTATTTCTAACTCAGCAATCTACATTATCAAATGGCATATTACAGATTAATATCTATTATTATTAATAAACTAGAGACCTGGTACATAAAATTCGTGCATTGGGGGTGGGGGGTATCTCAGCCCAGCCTGCCCCCTCTCACAGTCTGGGAGCCCTCAGCGGGGAGCAGGCCTAAGCCACAGTCTGGCCTCCCTCTGCAGGAGGTGACCAGGCTGATCAGGGGGAGGCGACATCCCCATCACCCCACTGCTGCTGCCACTGCCAGCCACCACAGCTGCCAAGGTATTTTCATCGACATGGACTCCAGTCCCTTCACCATGAAAAATGATAACTTTGTTTAGGCATTTTCAAGATGTGTCTTTCATAGGATATGTTTCCATTGATTTTTAGAGAGCTTGGAAGAGAGAGGGAAAGACAGAGAGAAACATCAGTGTGAGAGGGACACTTTGATTGGTTGCCTCCTGCATGAGCCCTGGTGTTGGCTATGGTCAGGGAGGAGCCTACAACCTAGGTACATGCCCTTGATCAGAATCCAACCAGACCCTGTAGTCAGCAGGCTGAGGCTCTGTCCACTGAAACAAACCGGCTTCAGCAGGATATGACATTTCTTAGCCCCTCCAGCTTTCATTTTTTCCTCCAGGACTGAGGTGGAAAAACCCTAGATCACCTTCTTGGAGTCTTATTACCCAAGTTATCAAGAATACTGCAAGTGGCAGTGTACAGGGAGCTTAGCCAATGAGTGGTCAGAAAAGTTATAAAAGGTATTTTTCTCTGCAGCTCATACACAGAAGCCCCCAGTGTGTGTCCGCTGGGGTGGGGTCATGCTCCAAGCTGTGCCACAGGCTGCTGTGAGCAGGCCCCCACCCCTGTGTGTGTCCACTGGGGGCCTGCTCCCAGCCATGCTGTGGTGGCTCAGAGCAGGCGCTCCTGTGTGTTGTGTCTCTGCTCTGGCCCGTCCCCATCTCCAGCCTCCCCTAGGCTGCTGGGGCTGGGGGTGGCACTCAGTCCCCTCCCATCCATCTGCATGCACAGCTGACTCCTGAGCCAGTCCATCCCAGCTAACTTGCATATTACCTCTTTATATATATATAGATCATTCCTTACATATTTTCATCATAAGTAATTGTCATCAATTGCACCTAAATGAACTCCAACCCAAAATATACTTATTTTTTTTTCATTAGCAAAAAAAGTTGTCAAAATGCATATGTATATTTACATTCAGAAGATGAAAACAATATCTTACCGTAAATATGCAAATATTCGCTCCTGATCTTCTCTCGAAAAGGAGGAGGATCAAAAATTGATAGTTTGCAGGAGTAATAGCTGTCATGAGAACTGTCCAAGTTATTCAGAAAGTAAGAGACACTGTTATTGGATGGTTGACAGGATTCCAAACTCTGTTTGGATATGATGTTTCCGTTCTTTGTCTTACTGAAATCACAAATTATTTGCGTCCCTTTCATCAACTCCATTCTAAATTGCTGGACATTCTCAGAGCATTTGCATAACATTTGTACACCTCCATTGTGAAATGTAAATATTTTAGACTGGGCAAAATCGATTTTTTCTGGATAAAAAGGGGGAAAAAAAAACAACATTTTAGGAATAGGTTGCCCTAATAATTATATTTGAATACAAAAGTAATCTCTTCATAAAGTCACCTCTATTGTATAAGAATGGAAAAAAAAAAACACTTCACAACAATAAAGAACATAATAGTTAAAACTGTGCCCTAGAAGAACCCTAAACAGAAGCTTGTTTGTCATATATGAATATATAATATGCAGCATATTAGACAATATATTTACAGAGTATGAATGAAACAGATATTGTTCCTGACCTTTGGCAACTTCTATATAGGAAAAAGATGGTAAACAAATAAATATGCACCATGATTTGTGTAAGGTATGGAGAACTAATTGAATGAAGGCGGTGATACTGGTTCTAATTTTTATTGTAAAATCAAAAATGCCACTTTTTGGCTGGTGTGGTTCAGTGGTTAAGCATTGACCTATGAACCAGGAGATCACGGTTCGATTCCCAGTCAGGGCACATGCCTAGGTTGTGGGCTTGATCCCCAGTAGGAGGCATCCAGGAGGCAGCCAATCAAAGATTCTCCCTCATCGGTGATATTTCTATCTCTCTCTCTCCCTCTCCCTTCTTCTCTGAAAGCAATAAAAATGTTGTTTTAAATAAGAAAATGCCACTTTGGAGGATCCAAGATGGCTGCGCCCAGGTGAACACCTAGCCGCAGCCGCACACAACAATTTCAATAAAATACAACTAAAATATAAAACGGACATTGCCCAGAACTACAGGAAGGTTGACTGACTGGAAATTCTACAGCGAGAAGCAAGGAGAAAACCAGAAGGAGGCGCGGAGGAGCTGGAAAAGCCCAAGGTACGGAGACGTGGCGCGCGGAGAGGACGGAGCCGGAGAGGAGGGAGGCCGAGTGCCTGGCGGGCGTTCCCTAGCGGAAAGGAGAGAAAAGCTCCGACTGTGCTGGGCCCCCAACTGCTCTGAACCCCGGTTCTGGGCCAGACCCCGGGGACTCAGGCTCAGCCATAGGGAGCCGGGCTGTAAGGCGGAACCCCGGGGAAGCGGCGAAAGGAGGTCCCGGAGGCGCGCACATTGCACGCAGAGAAGGGACGGTCGGCTGTGCCGCGGGATTGCCCTGACGGGAAGGAGACTGGGGCTCCAGACTGCTCTGAACGCCACCTCCAACTCCATTTCCAACTGAACTGAACCCCAATACCGGGCTCATTGTGGGAGAGCATAGACTGTTTGGCAGCAGGCGAAAATCGAGGGCACCTTTCTCTCAGAGGCGCTGGCAGCAGCGAGCACTGAAGGACCCGCATAGGGCGGGGCTGACAGAAGCCAAAGCTGCAGGCTCCACCCTGAAACCCCGTCCCATCTGTAACTGCGAAATGCGACAACAAAATAGATCACAAACGAAAGAAATGGAGGACAAAAAGCGTCTGGATATAGAGTTCAAATCTACGCTTATAAGTTTTTTCAAGAATTTCTTAGAAAAGATGGATAAGGGCTACGAGGATATGAAAAGAGATCAACTAGAATTAATAAGGAGTCAACAAGAAATGATAAGGGATCAACAAGAAATAAAGAATACATTGTCTGAAATAAAAAATATTTTACTGAGTCCTAAAAACAGAAGGGAAGATCGCAAGAATCAAGTCAAAGATTTGGAACATAAAGAGCCAGAAGACACTCCTCCACAGAAGCTAGAAGGCAAGAGAATCCAGAAAATTGAAGATAATGTAAGAAACCTCTGGGACAACTTCAAGCGAACCAACATCAGAATTATGGGGGTCCCAGAAGATGAGAGAGAGCAAGATATGGAAAACATACTGAAAGAAATAGTGACAGAAAACTTCCCCTACCTGGTGAAAGAATTAGACTTACAAGTCCAGGAAGCGCACAGAACTCCAAACAAAAGGAATCCAAAGAGGACCACACCGAGACACATCATTATTAAAATTCCAAGAGCAAAAGACAAAGAGAGAATATTAAAAGAAGCAAGAGCAAAGAAGGTAGTAACCTACAAAGGAGCACCTATACGATTGTCAGCTGACTTCTCAACAGAAACCATGCAGGCCAGAAGGGAATGGCAAGAAATATTCAAGGTGATGAATAGCAAGAACCTACAGCCAAAAATAATCTACCCAGCAAAGCTATCACTCAGAATCGAAGGCCAGATAAAGAGCTTCACTAATAAAAAAAAGCTAAAGGAGTTCATCACCACCAAACCAGAATTATATGAATTGCTGAAGGGGGTTCTTTCAGAAGAGAAAGTAAACAAAGATAAAAATTATGAACAACAAATACATAACTATCAACAAGTGAATCTAAAAACCAAGGAAATTAAAAAAATCTGATGAACAATATTAACTGTTGAATATAATAGAATCAGAGGTATGGAAGGGGAGTGAACTGACGATTCTTGGGGTAAAGGGGAGAGGGGGGCGTGGGAAGAGACTGAACATAAACTGTGCACCTATGGATGAGGACAATGGGGAGAGGGGAAAGGGCAGAGGGTGGGATGGGAACCTGGTGGAGGAGAGCAATGGTGGGTGGGGGGAAAGGAACATTTGTAATAATATGAACAATAAAAACTTATTAAAAAAAAAAAAAAAAAAAAAAAAAAGAAAAAAAAAAAAAAAGAAAGAAAATGCCACTTTGAGGAAATTATTTTTAATATTGAAATTGAGGGAGGATTTACACTTAGTCAAACAAGGAGAGTTTTGGGAAGATATTTTGGGAATGAAACAGTTAAGAAAAAGTTTTTAAAAGTACAATAGCTTACACTAAAAATAAGTGATAATATTTAAATATACATTGATAGTATACTCTCTTGCTAAAGTGTAGAAGAACAGATGCATCATTTTCAAATGATAGAAATGTGTGTCTTCTCAGAACCTCATCCAATAAAAACTAAATTAAGGTCTGATGAAAAAGATAAGGCCCCAAATATTTATTTACTGTTTCATTTTTTAAAATTAATTTTAATCTTCTAGGAAGACAAAGTTGTTTTTGAAAGCTACATAGGAATCACAGAAGGAGGAGACTGAGATGGTTTTGGCCTAGCTACAGATTCTGAGTTATTGGATTACTCAGCTCAGCCTGCACCCTTTTGCAGTCTGGGAGCCCTTAGGGGATGTCCAACTGACAGCTTAGGCCTGGCTTGCGGCTGAGCAGCACTGACCACCAGGGGACAGCTAATTCATTGAGCATCTATACCCTGGTGGTAAGTGCACATCATAACGACCTGTCATTTTGTCATTTTGTCAATTTGCATATTACCCTTTTATTATATAGAATAAGTTCAAACTGTGCATTGTCTTCCTTTTTTTCCTCTTCCTTTTTTTTAAAAATGTGAGAAAGTTTTATGCTGAAATTGTTTTGGGGAAATATTATCATGAAAGTTTTCTACTTGTTTTAAAATTTCTATATATATTCTGAAATGTTTGTATATTTTGGGGTTTTTTTTTTTCATCCATATACATACTTGTTTTATATAGCAAACATATTATTTTGTTTTTCTCCATTGTCCTTTAATGATATATCATAAATGTTCCATTTTGACATAGTCATCATAATTATCCTTTTTATGGTGGTATAAAAGGCCATAATGTTAATCTATCATAATTTGTTAAAGCATCTACTAATGCTGAAAGAACTGCTCCAATTTATAATGTGATTGGCATTACGCAGGAGGATGCATTTACTAGGACTCTACTTGCACAAATTTTATTTAAAATTTTACTTAAGATTTTTTATTAATTTTATTTAAGGTTTGCCACAGTTACTTATTTTTCTTAATATATTCAGGCTTCAATGCAAATCTATCATATTACTTGGGAATAGATTTTCAACTTGGGGTTTGCTTGTGAATATACACACAGGTATTCTAGCTTTCAATATGGCAGTCCAGGTTGTTCAAAATCACCCCATACCCTAACAACTAAAATGCTGAATAAAATGTCTTGAAATATTATTAAAAGAGAGGAAAGTAGTTTAAAAGTACTAGGTTAAACTTGAAGAACCAGAACTCAGAGATATAAGCAGAGCTTAGGAGCTACTTTTACTCTGAAAGCACTTGCTGTTCTCCCAGATTCAAACTTTTGTTTTCCTGTTTCAACTCCCAGAGTGTGAAAAGTGAGAAATCTAGTAGGAGATCTTTTACTCAATAAGCTGGGATCCCAAAAGGTTACATCCTTGGAGTACAGGTAAACCAGAAGTAAACCAGCCCTCATGCAGATTATAAGCCACCTTTGAATCTCTTCAGTGGTCTATCTCAATTCTTACATTTTGTTTAAAGTGATTTTGGATTATTATTACCCAGTGGCTTTAGAAAATAAAAATGCAAACTATTCCAGGAAGAAAAAATTTACATCTCAGGCCTCACATTATATTTACAAATAATAATTAAATACAATGACAAACACACTATAAAAAAATAATCAGACACAAAGGGAAACATAACAGAAACAACAGACTACCAAAACAATTATATATTTGAATTATCAGACCCACAAAATAAAACAATTGAGCTTACTATGTTTAAGGAAACAAAAGACAAAGTTATAATAATAATATCTGCAGAGCATAGAAAACTCAAAAAAGATAAACTAATTTGAAAAAAAACACACAACAACTAATACTGGCAAAAACCACACAGATTAAAAACTCACTGGAAAGATTGAGTATGAAAGGTAAAGAGAAAGCTGATAAACTGAAAAAATAGGCTAGAAAATTTATTCACAGTGGAGTCATAATCCACAGATTCAAGAATCCCAACAAATCACTAGCAGGCACCTGCAAAATACTTACATCTACACATAGCATAATGAAAATCCTAAAAGGAGAGAGAGAGAGAGAGAGAGAGAGAGAGAGAGAGAGAGAGAGAGAGAGAGAGAGAGAGAGAAGAGGAAGAAGAAGAAGAAGAAGAAGACTGATTATCTTCAAGGAAGCACCTATTAGATTGACAGGTGATGTTGCAACAAACATAAAAGCCATGATACAGTGAAATTGTGTCTTATATCTTCA